CAAGATGATGCTCTCATCTGTTCTCCAAGCTCTCTTAGAGACCCTGTCCTGTAGCCAAGAAATCAGGGCAGCTTTCCAAGATGATGCTTGGGGAAGCAGAACTCAGTTTTTTGTGCTGACACTGAACAACTTTACCCATGCAAATTACAGTTCTTGTGTTCCTTGTTGGGACTCGCAGCTCCCCTGGAAGGGAACACCCACATGAAGCTCACTGCTGCATCCTTTGGGCAGAGTCACTGTCAGTCCTTTGGGCAATCCCAAACTGCATTGGACATATTTTGCCAAGTTCTCCAGCAATTTCTTGCTTGTTCTGTTTCCTAATATTGCTTCAAATTAGAGAAATGTTGGGAGAACCTCTATTTTTCTTTCAAAAAATTACAAAACTCCCTTTTTTGATCTATTTTAGGTCTCTGTTTGCCTGAAAAAATTAACTGTAATTTCCCAGAAGTGGCTCAGGACTACTAAATTTGCCTCACACATTCAGTCTGCCCCTTCCCCAAAACATAGAGTCTTTCAGGTACCTCACAGCGAGTTGCATAAAGCCCTTTTTAAGAAAACAGCTACAACATCTGTTTATCTGGTCCAATTCCCTGATAAATAAAATATATCCCAGAGGCATAATAGGGTGCTAAAAATAAGAGTATGACACAATTGGAGCCAGCTAATCTGGTAACTCTGCTGCAGCTCACCGAGTGTTAATGTGAGAAGCCTGTATCTTTCCAGCCCGGCTGGCTGTGAGCATCGCGCATGGATCTCTCCCGGAGCCAGAGCCAAATCCCACAGTACTGTGCCACCCAAACTTCCTCCCCCTGGCCTCTGCAGGTGTAAAAACCCACAGCAATTGTGATACGTGAGATTTTGTGTGAGTCAGGGAGCAGAACAGGAGCGCCGCAGTCAGCAGAGCCTGACTGGTGTTTGCGATCAGGTAGCGCCTGTTTGTGCCACAAAATGTGTAACCTCTCTGATTAGAAAAGGCACAAAGAGCTGTATGTACCTGCACTATCACATATCAGTGTCCCAAAGAATCTCATAGTAATTATCTAACAGAGCAGTATCAAAAACCCAACAAAATTCAAATCTTACTCGGATCAGTTTTTCAGATGATTTTTGGTAGAGTTTTTTTTGTTTTGTTTTAAAGTAAGGTGCATAGTATGTGAGGAAAAACTTCTCCACGTTTATCATTATGTATATTAAATCATTGTCCTCTATGTTTCATAATTTGATCACATATTTTTAAGAATGTATTTTGCTTATCTAACTCTCTGCTTTCAACAGCAAACTTCCTCTGCTAATTCATCCCATTTGAATTTTGATATTTCAATTGAATAAGAACCTTTAATTTTGTTATATGCATAAATATGCTCCAATATATGGCAAGCAGTAGCTTCCTATGTTTAAAAAAGAAATTTAGTGAGAAATTTCAATATTTTTAATACTAGTGAAAATAAAATTTAGTCTATTAAGATGGTACAGTGATAGTCTTTGAATAGATGATACTTAGAATGTGTTTTAATTTATTTTTCCAGAAGCCTCAGTTTAGGAGCTTATTTTCTTAGTAACAAAATATTGCTCTGAATAATGCCAGAAGCATAATACATTAGTAGAAAGAGAAGAGTATTTATAGCCAGTAATTCAGCTGTTATAAATTATGACTGTAAAGAAAAAGGTTCCTTTTTAAAACTTGCTGCCAGATTCTGGTACAGCAATGCTGGGTAAGTTAAGTAATGCTCTTCTAATGAACAGTCAAGTCTTCAGTAGTTTTCATTTAAAGTAGACTTTATTAAGCATTTTTCTCAAACTCATCTTTTTTGTTCTGTTTTGAGCAGACTTCCATCTGAATAAAACTCTCAGTGACTTTTTAGCCTACATTAAATTCCCACTGACAAACAGATGAGAATTATTATTGATTTTCTCCAGAAGGAACTAACAGGCTTTGCCAAATAAATCATGCAGATCCTAAGTGTGCTATTCATCTCTTCTGCAGATTATTGCTTAAAAGCCATGATAGTTGTCCTTCAAAAATCAAAAGTCAAATCAGTGCTTTGACTTAACATGAAAAGTTTGGACTGACGGTTGTCCTGGCCCTTATTATAGTTTGGTTTTTTTGCAGTTTGGAAAATGAGAGGGCTGGCAGGCATGGATTCTTGGTGAGTGTGGATTCTTATTTTCTAGGGAACTCAAGCACACCTGGAGACTGGAGGTAACTGGTTTGTGTTAATGAGTGGCTCAGTTATTTATCCCTCCCCAGTATTATGGAGCACCCCAAGTCTCCTGAGAAGCCAGAGCTGATCCAGTTGATCACCTTCAACTTGGACACCCTTTGTGTCTGTGCATCTGTCTGTGTGTCAGTCCTGGCCCAGGGCCCTAACCAGGTCCTGAAATATTCCAGCATCTTCCCCTGTTTCAGCTCTGTTCTGGAAGTTGTAGATACTTTGTGCCTCTCCTATCTTTCATGAATACATTGTAGGCAATTATTTTGTTTACTTAATTAGCTTTTTGTTGATTTGAGCTTATTTGGTGCAATCACTGGTGCTTCTGCAGCACGTATTCCATCATCTGATTGTTTCCTAATTAATGGAAGAGTCTAATCACCCACTTCCAACCAGTTTTTAAGTACCCTTCATTATTTTTTTTGTTGTTGTTGTACGGGAATTGATTTAGAGTTGAAACATGTCTCAGCTAATTGCATGACATAATACCACAAAACTGTATGAATTAACAAATACTAATATGTACTTAACATCTGTCCTAGATACCCATGTTTGTACCCACACACAGAGGATGCTGCTACTGGCTGAAATTAGAAGACAGGAACAATGTAGTTTATCCAAAGTCTGTATTTCTCTAGTAAATTTCAAACCAGCATGAGACATATATCCCATTCAAATATTTATCTGTTCAGCATCTTTACCAGAAAGAGAATTTTCTAGATGACCCTTGTGCCAGCAGAAGTTGTGGTTCTAGCTGATATTACTCAATTAACATTGTATGAGATTTCTCCAAATGTGTTGACTGCCCTATCCATCTTAAAGGGAAAAACAACCAAAAAACACCCGAAAAAACCCCAAACCACACCGAACCCCCTAAAAAACACCCCACAACCCAAAACCAACCAAAGAAAAAAATCCCCCAAAACAACAACAACAAAAAACTACCCACATCCTTTTAATTTCTCCTGTTTGTCACTAAAATAATGCATTATAAATTTGCCAAGTCTTGCAAACCAGCACAATTTCACATTCTGGGACACTGTTAATTTTCACAGGAAAATATGTGTTTAGAATCATTAGGTCTGCTCAAACACTGAATGCAGTTATTTTTCAGTATTTTCCATACATGAAATTTAGCTACCTTGTATCAAAAATCCAGCTGTACTGGCAAACAAACAAACAAATTTTTAAAAAAAGCCGGAAGAGGAAAAGGGGAAGGAAGAAACCCATGTGTGACCTCTGGTGGTTTTAAGACTTACTCAGAAAATTGTACCTTCATCAATGATTAAATGACTCTCCCTTTTAAAATGTATTGAGCCCTCATTTTTATGTGGATGGATATTACTACACCAGAAATTCAATCTCTCACTGAGAAAAAGGGTTTTCCCATTCCCATAAGAATGGGAAAACAACTCAGATAAGTAAAACCAATGCAAATGCAAACCTTTCACCAACTCTTTAAAAGAGATTGACAATCTGCAGAAGTGTAAACACATATTCAGGGCCTATATTTCCTGAAATAAGTAATGATGGTAGATGCTCAGCTGGCATTGACACATCAGGTAACCATCACTCTGGGAGGACAGGTAATCTCTGAAAACTGGGAACTTTTCATAAGATTGAAAAGAAAGTGCTTTAACACTGAGGTGTCCAAAAATTTAATTTGGTTTCAAATACAGATTTTGACTCTTTTTCAAGTTTCTCAGTTTTCTTCTTTGTGTGTGTCTTTTCCTTGCTCTGTCTGAAAACAGAAAAAGGAGTAGAAAGCACTGTGTGACTAGAATAATATGTATGTATAGATATGTGTGTATATATACACATATTAATTGTATACATCTGTATCAGTCAGGAGGTTAATATTTAGATACCATTTTGATTACATATTTTATTTTTTGTTTGGTTGATTAAGGATCTTCAGGAGGTTTTCAGAATATATGGGCTGGCATGGAAAGCAAAGCTAGATTCTATCAGATATATCTCAATGCTTTTTAATACCATGTGCTTTCATCAGTTTTTTTCTCTATGCCTTGTTCTTTGTAGGCAGCACTTAGTACTTCAGAGAGAGTGTTGACTGTGGCTGAGAAGTCATCCTGGAGAGCAGGGATGCAGGTATTTTCCATTTTAGATACACAGGCCAAAATACCACATATACATGACCAAACTGACTTTTACTTAGGTACTACATGATAGGAAAAGTCAGTCAAATTGTCATATTTTAAAGAATGAAAGCAAAATTGCCCATCTTGCTGACAAATGGATCTGTGCTTCCCTGTGCCCCAGGGCCTGCATACCCTCATCCTGCAAGCAGAGGTGCCTACAAGAAAGCTGGAGAGGGATTTTCTATAAGGACAAATAGTGATAGAACAAGAGGGAATGGTTTCAAGCTGAAACAGAGCAGGTTTAGAGTAGGTATTAGGAAGAAATTCTCAACTGTGAGGGTGGTGAGGCACGGGCACAGGGTGCCCAGAGAAGATGTGGCTGCCCCATCCCTAGAAAAGTTCAAAGCCCAGTTGGATGGGGCTTTGAGCAGCAGCTGGTGTGAGATGTCCCTGCCCTGGATTGGAACTGGATAATCATTGAGGTCCACTCCAACCCAAACCATTCTATGGCTCTATGTTGCTCCTGGTGCCCCTGTCAGAGGCTGCCATGCCCGGAACATGGAACGGCTGCTCTGTGACATCAGCCCAGGGCTGAGGTCGCCACAGATCCACAGTGCTGTGGACACTGCAGCTGTGCTGGCACACGGAGCCTTGCTCCCGTAGCTGGCACGAGCCTCAGGCAGCCATAGCCATGCTGCTGCTGTGCTTCCTCGCGCTGCTGGCCACGTGCAGGCCTGTGCAGGCCACGTGGAACACCTGCGAGTAAGTGGCCTGGGGAGGGAGCTTGGGCAGCACTGGGGGCTCCCTGGAGAGGGCCTGCCCGTCCTCCATGGCCAGGCCGCACCTCCCCAAACCCCACAGGGAAGCCTCAGTTCCTTGTGGGCAGGCACACACCCCATGGCCTTCCCTGGTGTGCTGTCCCCACACACCTTGTGGGGAGCTTCTGCTGGAGCAGGATGGAAATGACTTTCTACTTGCAGAGGGAACTGCGGAGTCCGGCCCTTGACTTCCGATGAGGAACGAGGCATGACACGCGTCGTGGGTGGCAAAAATGCTGAGGTCGGGGCCTGGCCCTGGCTTGTCAGCATCCAGGATCCCTCGGTTTCGGGCACGGGGCATCTGTGCGGAGGGTCCCTCATCAGTACAAAGTGGGTCCTCACGGCAGCCCACTGCTTTGCTGAGTCCAGGTAAGCAGGAGCAGGAAACAGGGATATCCCCACAACATCAGTAGGTGCCCTGTCAGTAAGTGCCGTAGGCTTCTTCCATCTCATTTCTCTGCAGTGTGCCCAGTGCCTGGGCAACGCAGAGCTCAGCTGAGAAATTGCTCAGGAGAAGGCTGGGTACATGCCACTACTTCCTAGTAGCCTCCAGCTGGCATTCCCAGAGCTTGAGACATGCTGGGGCAGTCACCACCTCCACAAGTGCTGCTTCAGAAGCAGAAGGCTGGTCACTGCTGGGCTGCCACAGCTCCAGGCTCTGCTCCCTCTCACCCCTCTCTCCACATGCCTTCAGGAACATCAGCGCCATGCGCCTGCTGATCGGGGCCACCCAGCTGACAGAGCCAGGCCCTGAGGCCCAGGTGCGCCTGATTAAGCGGCTGGTGATTCACAAGGAATACAGTCCTGCTGACCAGAGCAACGACATCGCACTGCTGGAACTGAACGAGCCCGTCCAGTGCAGCTCCCACATCCAGCTGGTGTGTGTGCCCAATGCCACGGTGAACGTGGCACAGCTGAAAACCTGCTATGTCGCTGGCTGGGGTGCCACCACTGCAAGATGTGAGTTTCCAAAAATGGAGGGCAAGCTCAATACACTGGGAAGATGGGTTGGGCTTCCTGACAGCAAAGGCCAAAGCCAGAATAAGGCTGCCCACTCCCTAAAAGCAGATAGCAGGGACAGAGAGCTCCAGCACCTCTGTAGAGGCACAGCCAAACCCTAGGGAAGGGGTCCACCTCCAGATGGGGAAAGTGGCAGCAAGCTCATTCCTTTCTGTGTTCACAGCTCAAAAATCAAGTGATATCCTGCAGGAGGCCAAGGTCCACCTTATCAATGTCCAGATCTGCAACAGCAGTGAGTGGTACCAGGGGGACGTCCATAGCCACAACTTGTGTGCTGGCTACCCGGAGGGTGGCATCGACACCTGCCAGGTGGGACCATCACTCAGTGACAAGTCACTCAGCCCCCAGCAGCACAGGCAGCATCACCCCAACACAGCCCAGCCCCCGCTTTCCCTGGCCAGTCACTCTCTCAGCCCTGGTTCCCCACCTTTGCTGGGGCTTCCCACCCATTCCCCATGTGCAGGGCCTAGCCCAGGACCTCCCTTTTCCCTGAGGCCTGGCACTCTGCCCAGAAAGCCCTGCTAGTGCTCTTTGCAGTCTAGATGTCCAGATGCCAATTCTGGAACAACTGTCCTCTGCACATCCAGGATCACTGTGCAGAGCTGAGAGAGAGCCTGACTTCATAGGCTCCCAACCCACTCCCAGCCAAACTTCTGGAGGTTCCAGCAGCTGAGCAGAGCCTTGCTCAGCTGAGAATACAGCTCTGGCAGGGGCTGTGAGAGAGAAGGAGGTAGCACTGGTGCTGACAGGGGCCACCCAACACCACCTTAATCCTCTCTGGTTCTCTGCAGGGTGACAGCGGGGGTCCACTAATGTGCAAAGACAACGACGCTGACTTCTTCTGGGTTGTCGGAGTGACCAGCTGGGGCAGAGGCTGCGCCAGAGCAAAACGGCCTGGAATATACACTTCTGTTAAGCACTTCTATGACTGGATTCTGCTCCAGATGGAAATGCTTCCATATGCATGGAGTCCTTATACAACTGCCTCACCACCCTGGACTCATCCTACAAATGCCCCATGGCCCACTCAGAAGCCATGGACGAGACCACCTGCCACTCAGATGCCATGGACAAGACCACCTACAACTCAGAAGCCATGGACGAGACCACCTTCCACTTACAACCCATGGCCAACAACACTGCCCACTCCAAAGCCATGGCCAACAACACTGCCTGCTCCGAATACATGGCCAACAGCACCGCCTCCTCCAAAGCCATGGCCAACAACACTGCCCCCTCCAAAACCATGGCCAACCGCACCGCCTCCTCCAAAACCATGGCCAACCGCACCGCCTCCTCCAAAACCATGGCCAACAACACTGCCCCCTCCAAAACCATGGCCAACAGCACCGCCCCCTCCCCAGCCATGGCCAACAACACTGCCCCCTCCAAAACCATGGCCAACAACGCTGCCCACTCCAAAGCCATGGCCAACAGCACCGCCCCCTCCAAAACCATGGCCAACAGCACCGCCTGCTCCAAATCCATGGCCAACAGCACCAACCCCTCCAAAACCATGGCCAACAACGCTGCCCCCTCCAAAACCATGGCCAACAACAATTCTCACTCCGAAGCCATGGCCAAAACCAACCCCCACTCCAAAGCCAAGTTCGATACCCCCACCAGTGGCAGAGAATAATAACTGCCCATTTCCACTCAAGAAGCTGATGGAATTCTTCACTCAGATGCAGAAGCTCCTGAAGAACCTACAGGGGATTCCAGTTTGAGCAGGAGAATGGACAGGATCCAGTGCAGGTTGCATAGGACCGTGACTGTTTCCTGCTGAGGCAACGCCTGCTGATCCAAAGGCTGCCTCAGTGCCGAAGGCCTGCTCTGTCCTTCCCACGTTGCTCCTCTACACGTATGCAAGTGCTAACGTTGACTTAGTTGTTGAAATAAAGTTGCCTGTGTTTGTGGTTAACCATGCTTTCAGTCCAGTTTGGTCTCCTGGGCAAGGCAAGGACTTCCTTGCCCAGGACCTGCAAAATGATGCTGCCTCAGACCACTTGGGCGCAAAGGGAGTCACTCTAAAGGGCTGGAACTCTGGTCTGACAGAAGAGTGCTCAGAGCCACCACAGGACAAAGAAGACTGGCACATCAAGGCTAGAAAGAAGACAAGAGGAGACAGTGCCACATACAGACACCTTGGGGAGGGACACATTGAGGCACACAAGCTGGTAACTAGAGCCTGGCAAAAGCCTGAGCTAATGGAGCAGACCTGGGAAGCTCCTGAGCATGACAAGCAAAATTTCTGACAGTTACAAAGGCAGGGAGAAGCTGAAAGGAGCTACAGTGCCCTAAGGAAGAGCAAGATTTCACAGGTAGCAAAGGGACATTGATGTGTGAGGTGGCCACACTTCAGAAATGTTTGAAGAAAGAGTTGGGGTCATTCTGGGGAGGAGAACCTGGTAGGAGCAGAAGGACCCAGGAAACTGCAGCTGCATTGCCATAGAAAGCCAAGGTGAGCTAGTTAACAGCACCTGCAACACCAAGTCTGTTCACAGGTGGGACACACCTTGGATTCAGGGGGAAAAGATAGCAGGGAGGAGAGAAGGTCAGAGAAAGAGAGGAGTCAAGGAAGATGAGGGGGATGTGTAAGCATGGCAGATAGGGAGAAGGGAGCATCAAGGAGCCAGTCTGACAGACACAAGCTGCATCCTTGGCCTCACATTCCTGGTGCCACAACTGCCCTTGCCAGTGTGGGCCCAGAACAGCACTAGCCCATGTGGATATCAAGGCCAGGGAGCCTCCCAGAGGGTGTTGCTGTGGCTGATGTGGCCAGCATGGACTGTGCTCCATCCGTGTTTCCCATGCTTTGCACAGGAAGGATGACACTGCCTGGGTATCTCTGGCATACGTGACTGGTGCTGCACTGCTCACCAGCCATGGCTGTAACCAGACTGGACACGTGCATGCTGTCTGCAGGAGCCGTGTGCTCTAGGGGGTGTTTTTGGGAAGGAGCTTCTGGCAAGCAGCTGCAGAGAGTAGGGTGGCAGTGAACCCCCCCAAAGAGACCATGATGCTATACAGGGTGTTTTCCTGCAAGCTGTTAACAGGAAGTTCTGGGAGCCCCTGCAAAGAGAGGGGCTAAAATAAAGCTGGAGAAGAACTTTTTTTACAAGGGCAAGAAGTAATAGGACAAGGAGGAATGGCTTTAAAGTGAAGGTAAGTTTAGAATAGATATTAGGAAGAAATTCTTCTCAACTAGAGGAACTCCATGGCTTCAAAGCTGCAGTCAAAGCAAATGTCACAACCATCTCCTCCTCAGAGATGGAAAAGCCTGTCACAGTCATTACCGTGACACGAGCACCTACCAGCAGCTTCCAACTGCTCATTCAAATGCCAAGTGACAGGCAGATGTTTCCAGAAAGAAATACAGCCCTCTCAGAGCCTTGGGTTGCATCACCCACCAGCACAGCATTGCCTCAGCCTCCTCTGGCCGAGGCTGTGACCTGCTGGAGTCACTTGAGCTCAGCCTGGGCTCAGCTCTGACCGTGGGGCCCAGACAGACCATGTGGCACTGCTGGAACTGGAGAGAGCTTTGCTTTTTCTTGTCAGAAACTTCTTTGTTAGCAGGAAGCTGTCAGGAGAAGGGGACATAAGACAACTTACACCCTACTTATTGTTTTCCCAGCAGCGTTTGTGTAGTGGATTTCTAGAAGAAAACTCCCCACAAACTGCAGTTGGGAATTTAAAATAGCACTGGGCACAACGGCGTATGCTCTTTAGTGGCTTGATAACTAAGACAGAGTATAAACCATTAAGTCGAAATGCCACTGCTAAGTGCAGGGAAGGATCACAAACCCTCCCCCGGCCGAGCTCTCCCCGCCGGGCCCGGCCTGGGCCGCGGGGCCGCCATCGCCGCGACAATGCTGCCCCCTGGCGGCGGCCGGCGGGAGCGCGGGGCGGCCCCGGGGAACGCCTGGGGATGGATCCCGCGGCCCCGGGGGCCCGCACGGGTCCGCCCGGGAACGCGGGGAATGCGCGATTCCTGCCCCGAGCCGCGCGGGCAGACACCGCTGCAGGCGGCCGCTGCCTCTGACACGTCGCGTCCGGGCTGCCTTAGACACTGGCAATTACTGGTGACACCTCACTTCGACTGGGTTAAATATTTTCCCACTCCGGGCCGTGTGTTTGCCCAGGAAGGATCAGCGAGTCACGTCTGCTGCCGTTCCCTCTGCACCAGCTGCCCGATGTCCTTGGTACCTGGCCGTCAGTTCTTAATGTACATCAACATGCACTGATATACAGCCAGGCTGATCTTTGACTCACCTTTGGAACAGCAACACATTTTCTCAACAACAAATTATACTTTGACATTAGAAGGTGGCAATCTGTAATGGATATTGCAATCTGAAGATTGAAAGAGACTATCTGTGATCTTTGTCCTCAGCCGAGCAGGCTGGAGTCTCTCTTCCCTCCTACACATTATTTGATTGTGGGACATAACCTTGGGATGTACTAATAATCATTAGTCAGAGCTGATGTATCCGTTACGGGCCTGCCCTGCTCAGGGAGGGAGACGTTCTCTAGAACAGTAGTAAATCAGCAAAACATGCACTTAAATATACAGCAAAATGTGGTTTGAGATATGGTCCTTCATACATCATGTAGCAAAATGTTTTATTGAGAGAGTCACACGCACACTAATGAGGAAGGAGGGCTGCCGAGACAAGACCTGTGCAGCTGAAGCAGTTCTGGGAGATAAGGGGCTGGGAGAGATCTCTGAGCAGCTCCTGGCCCAGGGGAAGTTGTGACTCCCCAAGTCCTTCTCTGCCCTCTCCCAGCCTTGGACAAGCTGGCAGGAGAGAGAAGGGAAGGCAAAGGAAGGAAGGGAGCCCTGTAGAGCTCCCAGACACCATGAGCCTTAAGGGCCTGGCAGGGGCAGTGAAAGGGTCCAGCTTGCCAGGAGGAGTGAGAGGTCTGTTCTGCTGCTCACCAGCTTTGCAGGTCAGGCTGCTACTTTGTCGTTTGTTTTTGCTGCTAAGCAGTTGTCCTTTTGGAGCTGAATGTTGCAGAAATTGTTAGAGCTTCTCCTTTGCTTTTTTACAGGCATTTGTCATTATTATTTAAATCTGAGTGAATAAATAACACATGTATCTGCTGAATGTTTTACTCTCTGGGTTCCTGACCTTGCTGCTTTCCCTTCCTTGGTTTTGTGGTCCTGACTATTTGCAGAAACTGTGCCAAGAGGGCTGGCCAAGATCTCTGAAATGCCTGGGGCTGCATCCCACACTGATCTGGGAGAGCCTGAGCTGGCACATCCCTGCTGACTGTGATTGCTGGACCCACAGGGCTCTGGGGCTTCTCCTATGAGCCTTGTCACCCTTTTTGGAGCTGGCCAAATTTGTGCATGTCTGGCTTTTTTTGCTTACTAGTGACAACTCAGCCAATGCTGGAAGTGTCTGTGATGTCTAAGCTTTGGATCAGCTGTCTTGCTTAGTGCAACCTCTCCACATTACGTTTTGTTATTTCTAATTTTTTTTTTTCTTGAGTAAGTATAGCTCAAGCGTTGCAATAGCCATTTTTACTGCCAAAACTATGTTTGATGCATGTTTGCCTGGTGGGGAGACAGGCTCAGGATAGGGGTGCATTAGCTGCTTTCAGTACTTCTGACCCCAACCCATGTCACTTCACTGAGGGATGCCAGCCTGGCATGGCCCACAGGTGACTGCAGGCTGAGCTGCCCTGGAGGAACTGAAATCCCCAGTTCCAGCAGAACCTCTGTGACCAGCCCAGTCATGCACCTAGAGAGAAAAATAAGGCAAGCCTTTCACTTGTCTCTTCAGTAAATATTAGAATGGTTTATGCCTTTGTTTCCCTAATTCTGACATTTTTTTCTCAGAAATCTGTCACAAGCGTGAGCACAGACTAATTTCCATGTAAGGCAAGTCAGTAAGAATGGGGATGTTTGAATGGTGTGTCTTTTAATAAATGAACCAGTGCTCGTGTTTTTAACAGCAATAAGAAGAGATAAGACCTCCATTCCTCCTGTCATGGCAACTACAACAAAGAGAACATCATTCAGAAGTCAAGAAAAAGACACAGGCACTTTAGGTCTCAGCCAAGAGAGCTGCAAAGTAGCAAAACTCATTACTAATTCAGAGGGGCTGTATCCCTCAGAGCTCACCATTACTGGTCTTACTACTAATAACACTGGAGCACATCAATTTAGCAGAAGGCAGAGTTTGGCAGAAGGCAGAATGGTGTTGAAGTGCCACTCTCCCAAACAAACATCTCCAGGAGGCCTTCCCTTGCTCTAGTCAGCCTAGAAGGAAGCAGTGCAGGGTTGTGGGGAAAGAGCTGAGGAGAGGAAGGTTCTGGTTTTATAGCCAGAGCAGTCTGGTAACGTTAATCCTAGAGAAACAGCGAAAGAGGCCACAGGTACTTGTAATTTATTCATAAACAGCTATGCCATCATAAGAAACTTTTTAAAATAATATGTGATAGTTCTTTAAATATTTAAGAATTTGTTGACCTATTTTCTCATTTAATTAGGATTTTTTTTTTGGGCTGCATTAACAATGACTTGAATGCAGTCTGGTTTAGTCACTACACAGTTCAGCTACACTGGGTTACAGAAACATGATTTCTTTCTAAGGCACATGACACAGGAGAGGAATGCCATTGTAAGTGTCTAGATGTGTGCTTAAAAAGAGGAGACTTACTAGTAGGTAGGGCATAAGCTCAATTAGTGAATATAAAACCATTCACCTGGCATCTTTCTGAGTCCTAAACCAAACTTTGTCTTTTCAATTACAGCACTACCCCTGGTTTCTTTGCAGCAAAGGGCTATGGTGCAGTTGCCCTTCTCTTCAAAGTGCCCTGGTTAAGAGCATCAAGCTCATCTCTGCAAGCTGCATTTGTGAGTATGCTTCTTTTCTTACTCATTTCTTTTGTCCAGGCCTAGAAGTGAAGTTGGTAAAACCTTGTCCATGTGTGCAGCACAAATCACAGTGCAGCAGTATGGTCAGAAACCAGCTCTTTCTGAATGCTAATGGAAGGCACTGTTAGCAGAAGCTGCACTCTGTGCATCATGCTGGAGCTGGAGCAGAACTCGTGTCCCATCTGTCTCCTCTGAAGTCAGTGGTGAGGGAAGGGAGGATGTGAGAGCAGGGCTTTGACTGAATATCCAGCATGGAGATGGGCAATAGTTGGAGATGGCCACAGGGCCCTCCTGACAGAGGGGAAGTTGTCACCAGCAAGGCTGGGTGAGCCATCAGAGTCCTGTCAGTATCTGCTTGCTTCAGGGGGGTTGCTGTGGGCTGTGAAATAGGCTGCAGCACCAAAATGTAAGTTTGTTCCCCACTACATGGCTTGGGAATGATCAGCTCTGAGCTGATCCACTCTAGAAAAGGATGCCAGAGGGGTCAATTCCTGCTCTCTAAAAGGCTCTAAAATGTACATCTCAGGAGTATCATTATCAGGCCAATTTCTGGCTCTTTTAAAGCTGCAGTAAAATAAAACTTTACCCTTGCTGCTGTCACCTCTCCTTCTTAGGAGGTGTCCAGAATCATGCTGTTTTCCAAGAGTTGCTTTAGGGGTTTCCTGCAGAAAACCACAGGGTCAGAGAAAAGTTTGCACAAACTCAGAACACAAGGATGCTGTTAACTTCCCATGCAGCCTTTGCAGGGCATCTCCAAAGTGACCTGGGAAGGGTACTTCTCAGTCTGTGTTTCTGCACAGTGTCACTGAGCTGACTCAAAGTAAAAGATTAAATAAATGTTGGCTGTCAGGCTTCAACAAGCTGCTTCATCAGGTGCAAATGGACAGGAAAGATTTTCTTCCATTTGCACCTGATGAGGAGGCATGTTTCTCCCCCAAAAGCTGATGTCTGCCATCCTGTGTTTCAATCCATGGATCAATTCAGCATTCTTGGGATCAATGTTCTCCACTAATGAGTTATTGCTTTTTATTTTCAAAATGCAACTTGAAATCTTGAGCAAATATTTGTCATCTGAGGGATACCAAGTGCACAGAGTCAAACCTGTAAGTTCTTAAATGAGAATGGTTGGGTTTGTAGTTCCTAGAAAGAAATACACTAGAAACTTTTTTTCTGAGATTAAACAGGAGTCAATACCACAGTGCAGAGAAAGAATTTCTATTTTTGGCTACACCCTTAAGGCAACAGAAGAAGTGTATGTCACTGCCACAGTGACAGCTAATGAGCAGATATACAATATTAATTGCAGTAAGTTTAACACACTGAGCAATCTATCAGTTTCAATTTCCCCAGCAGCTGTAGTTTTGATACTTTTGCCTAACACCTCTGTCTGAACTGGCTGCTTTGGGTTTGTCTGCCTGCATGGCAGCACAAAGAGGGACTAAAGCACCACGGTCCTCCTGGTGCTGCTCGAGGGGCTGACCCAGTTGCACTGGGCTGGCACCAGCACGAAGCTGTTGTCCCGGGTCCTTCGGAAGCGCATCACCGCCCCGTGTTCCGTGATGGTGATGATGTCGGGGTCGGGCTCGCCGAAGGACACCTCGGCCCGCTTGTGGCACTGCTGGGCACACACACAGCGCACGGCAGCTGCCAGTGCCAGGCCCAGCACGGCCGTGCAGACCAGGAGGATGCCAAGCTGGGCTGCAGGGAGTCGGGTTCCTCTGCCAGGCCCTTCCCCTATCCCGGGAACAGCAGATTCGGGAGCTGGTCTGGTCACCCATGGCACGGTATTCCCAGCTGCCTCCTGCTCATCCTTGTCCTGCTCGGCCCTGGTGCCTGCCCCCTCTGGCTGTGGTGCCAACTCTCTTCCTGCCATTTGCCTTGAGGCTGAGGACAAATTGCCAGCGGTGCTGGCATCACCAGGCCAGGCTGTGGTTGCAGCAACGCCGCCCAGGTGAGTGCGTACGTGCAGGGCAGAGGGAGATGCTGTCACACGTAGGGAGGCTTTCAAGATGGTTCTACTCTCAGTACTGCCCTTTGAAAGCAAAAACATGCCAAAACATGCAGTGAGGGAAGAGATTAGGTTCTCACTAGCTACCTCATGGAACACTTCAACTCCACTTCTGATGCCCTTGTGTCCCTCTGGCTTTAGATTAACTCCTCTCTATTCCCTGTTTACTCAGTAGCTTTTAGAAAATGAAGCAAATGCAACCCTCCATACCAGAGTTACCATGAGAAGAACAAGGCACCGGAGTTGGTCCCAGGGGCAAAGGCAGTGTGGGTTGGAGGGGCAAAGGTGAAGGGCACAGGTGGAGAGGAAGGTCACTGCTTTGTCTAAATATCTGCAGTTCCTGCTGTGGTGGTGGTGGTATTTTTCACAGGCATCATTATCACAAAATAATATCACTTAATAAACAATTCCCGCCTTGAGTGGCACCAGGGTCATGCTGAAAGGGCAGGTGTGATTTTCCCAGCCAAGCTGCAAGAGTAGGCTCACATGGACCCACTGGGATTCAGTATTCCCCTTCTGAGGCTATGGAGTGAATGGACATGGGTGACTTGGGATGGCCTTTGCCATCAGCAGTTTTGGGGCATTCACATGCAACCTATAAACTCTCCCCAAAGCCTGTCTTGCTTTCTCAGTTTACACAGCCAGTCTGAAATCTTATGCCCCTCTGTGTTGCTTAACCACCCATTTTAGTGGGAATGTCGTTTCCTGCCTGTTTCTGGGCACTGTCTGGTTCCATGCACCTTCTTTTAACTGTCACAAAATGCCAGCTGCTCCACGCCAGTTCTGCAGCTCAGGTTTTGCTGCAGGTATCATCCAAGACTAACTGGGGAACAAGCATGCAATTTAGGAGGCCCCCAATGAATTTTTCCATTCCCACTATGCACCTGAGCCCCTATCCAAAACCTGCAAAATGTACTGGAGTTTTTAATTTGGCTCCACTGAGATTTGGATCTGGCCCTCAGTAGCTGGCACCTCTCCAGCCTGTCCAGCCCAGCAGGCTTTTTCACACATCCATTAATTACACCAGAGAAACTCTCACCCTCTACCATCATTAGTGATTTCTAAAGCTTCCTGGGAAGACAGCGTGACAGGAGCACAAAGCTGAGGTAGGAGCCCTGGCAAGCTGTGAAGCAAAGTAGTGGAGGGTCAGAGCATCCTTTGTGGAAGGGATGGTTTCTGAAGGTGCTAGTAAAATACAGTAGTAAATAGAAGACTTCCAGTGGCTGGACTGCAAACTATAAAGTAGGAGGCTGGCAAAGTTAGGACTGCATGTGTATGGGTCACTTGCCCTTAAAATGCAAACACCATACTGTAAGGATATGCTGCAGGACTTGGCACTTTGGGATAGAAAATGGAATTGCCTCTTAAGTCCTTGCCCTATCTCAACTAATTTCTCCTTTCTTTTCATACTCCTCCTCGTTCTTGCCTAATTTCTCAGTGTTTTTGTTTCATTATGCTCTTCTGATCTTTCCTTGTGCAAAAACTCATCCTTCCCTTTGGTTTCCATCTACTGCCAGTTCTCCACTTCTCTCCGTGGCTATGCCAGGTGCTCGTGGTACATCTCTCCTTTACTTGTTCTCTGTCCTCTGCTCCTTCCTAAATATTTCTGGCTCATTCTGTGCCTTATGTCCCCTTTCTCTTTTATGTTCTGAGAGATTATTTCTCTTTCTCCTTTGGCACTTTGGAAACCAGGTCTATTCTTTCTTGTCCTTGTATTTTTCTTCTCTCCATCACCTGCATAGTTGACTTACCCTGTTAACTCTGTGTCCTGTATGTCTAAGCACACACATTTCCAGCAGCCTGTAGTCACATCTACATAAGGGAAAGCAATTGTTTTTACAGTGGGCCTCTTAAAAACCCAGGCAGTGGGCTCAAAAGAAAAAAAAAAAAAAAACCAAAAAACAACAAACTAGAAAGAGACATTAACCCCAATTTCCAATTTAGGAAAAAAATTAGAACTTTCAACAGTCTCAGTGTAGTTTTAGCCACTTATGACACCTTCATGGGCTGCTAGGGTGTCCTCCCCAGCCCTGGTGCTTACCTTCCTGTTGCCTGTACACATCAAACACAATTGTAGGGTGGCAGCACTGGCAATGCTTCCTGCTCTGAAAGATGGACAGAGGAAAGGCAGGGTTAGCAAGTGACACCTGTAGCTCCCACCACCAAGAAGTGCTGCTCCTTAGAGCAGTTTTGGGATGCATGCAGTCAACATGGATCACACAACCTGTATTTTGAATTATGCCTGATCATTGATTCCTATCCCCATCATTTTCACCCACAATATGAAATGTTGCATGAAAGCTCATGCAGCCCAAACTTTCTAAAATTTCTGAGCAGACATCCTCCAGCCCAAATTTCATAATTGCTTTGCATCCTTTTTTTTCCTTTTCCTTGCAGATGGAGAAATAGGTCTGCTAAGTTCACTGTTTCACTGAATAGTTGTATGCACTTTCAGAAAAATGTTATAGCAGTCGATAGGTTTTATCACTTTATCCTTCCACTACCTGACCCGCCCCCCACTGTGCTGAGCAACACAGCGTTGGGTTCTTAGGAGTTTTGGATTTTCTTCCTGTTACTGTCTGTCATGTGCAATATCCAAAGGTTTATTTCTCAAAATCTCAGCAAACAAACACCCTCTCACCTCTCCCAGACACAGGCACCTTCCTACACACAGGCACCTTCCTACATTTTCCTTGTTCATCTGCAGGGAAACTATTACTATTTTCCTTCCCCACAAGGACTGGAGAAACAGCTTTTCCCACCACCTAGATTTACCCATTGAAGCTGCTGTAGCTGGAGGCATTGTCCTGGGAGAGGGAACCTTGCAAGGCATCCACCATTCCAACGTCTTGGGTGGGAAGGGACGGCTCCAGCCCCCGGCCTCTGGACCGGATACTCCTGCCGGGCACAGCCCGCGAAGTCCGGCCCGGCTGCTTTGGCTCAGCAACGGGACGAGTCTCCGACCCGACACCAAAACCCGGCTCTGGTGCTGGTGTTGCCACCGTGCCAGTGGGGCTGGCAGGCAGCAGGGAGCCAGTGGCAGCTGCAGGAGAGATGGGACCTTGGCCAGCAGGGAGACAAAACAAAAGTCAGGGACAGAGGAGCAGAAGTCTATTGTCTTCGGTTTGTTTATTTCAAATCCCACTCGGTGCCAAGGTTTGCCAGGAAGGTTTGTAACAGTGACTCTTTTATTTTCATGTCACTTATTTTGAAGAGGGAACCCACATGGAAATTAAAGCAGCAAAGCTCGCTGTCTATGTACTGGTCAAGTAAAATAATAATTAGTGGGCCAATTTTTTTTACAGTCAAGTAAAAAAATAATTAAAACTCAGCCTTGGTGCCATGCCAAAAATGCTGACATATACATCTGATTTAAGTATAAGTAAATTATTGGAGCATCTTACTGACCAAAGGCTGCATAAATACAACTAAATATATACCTGGAGGGCAATAATGACATTTAGAGATAAGTATGTTCCTCTGTTTAGGCAACCTTAGTAATTACACGTCCTTCTCTTCAAGAGCTGAGATTAGGTAAAGTATTTTAAGATTTGCATTGAAATCATAAGATTTGGCAACCCCATTTAATTTCCTGGTGCCCTCCTTGGAACTGGCTCCTCAAATACTGACCCACACCTCAAATACCGACCCCCACCTTCACATCAAGGAGCTCACCATGGCCATCACTGATCTCCTTGACAGATACTGGATTTAAATGGGTCTCCCCAGCTTGTTTGGGCCACTTGTGTTGGACACTTGGCCAGACTAAGCCACTTGTGTTGGACACTTGGCCAGACTAAGCTGTAGAACTACTCTGCAGGGGGTGTTGGTAAGAAATAACAAGGTTTGCTCACCATACCTGTGGGGTGAGGGTCAGCTGGTCCCTGCAGGGGCACGTGGGCTACAGCATCGGGCTTCTTGTCAGCAAGAGTCTTGTTTTGCCCTCCCTGAGCCACAACAGCAGATTCAATCTTTGCCCAGTAAACAAAGTATGACTGGACTATGGAGATGCTGTTAAAACATAATCAGGCGAGAATTTACTGGCTCTGTAGCATTAATAAAACATCTGACTGTTTAGCTAATCACAAAGACTGCTTTAATCTAAGAGAGAACCAATGAAAAAGTATTTTAAAGGATTAGCCTGTCATACATTTTCTATTACAAATAAAAGGTACCAGGTCCCATAAGAAAGATTTGGGGTGAAGAATCGCCACTCAATAAATAATTAAGTTCAGCCAAAAAATGTGTGGGAACTTAAAAAAAAATATTTTAAAAAGCTGTATTACATTCATCATGTTGATAGAAGTACATTTGTAAAACTTGGACTAGCTCTGCTTACAATCTTCTGTAGGCAAGGAAACAACAGTGGTATTTATTAATTAAAACAAGCCAATGTAACTTGTACAAACAGTAGAATAGGTAAGGGGTAGAAAAAGTCTCTCTTCTCACCCTCTGATATTTGAGTCTGCCTAATCCTTTGCTTTTTGTCAGGTGCCAAAACTGTGTTGGCCAACCTTTAACTGCACCCCGAGAGCCTTATTTAAGCTGGAGATTTTGGGAGAATTTCAGCTCAGATTGCTCAGCTGCTTCTGAGAATTATCTAAGGGGAAACCAACCTGGGTTTTCCTGTGCCAGATGACACTTAGAAGGTGTTTTTAAGCCTAAAAAGGCATTTTTCCTGATGCTGTGACAGGATAAAAAGGAAGAGTCTATCACATATCAACTTGGAGCATAGAAGACCAGACTTGAAAGAAATATCAGAGTGGCTGTCTAGGACTAGGTCTTGTTGGGATTTGTTTGGGTTTATTTGGGGTTTTTTGTGAATTTAATAGTATTTCTTTAAACTGTAATAGTATTTTCTGATATAAAACAATGGCTAAAATTTGGAAATTCCAAGCAGCAATATTTCTGTTTCAATGAATTTTTCTTGAATCACGATGAGATGCTCAAGCCACAACACTCAACAGGACACTTAGGTTTTGGGAAGCAGCCAAGGATCTGGCCAAGTAGTTTCTAAGTGACTTTGTAAAGTTGAAATATAACAATTTAATATCTTTTGAAATGAAAAGCTGCTGTGCTTCCTCTAAGGCAGTCAGTTAGAAGATGTTGAATTTCATTCCAAATCAAAACTCAGCTACTTGGACAGTGTGGGACTTGGGTGCAAAACAGAGATGTCAAGTTTCGACACAGTGCTCACTGTCTTTCTATTGTGAGTAATTCTTTTTAAATTTAACTTTTTTCTAAACTATGTCTTTTTTTCTCTTTTTTTGGTCTTTTTTGTTTTGTTTTGTTTTGTTTTAAGAAGTGATATACAAGATTATCCTTTAGGCAGGGAAGTCCTATGGGCCGTATTATTTACAAAGACAGACAACATGGTCACAGTTCTCTCCTTATGCCTTAACATTTCTGTTTCCTAAAATGCTTAAGATGTCATCTTCCAGGGTATCTATTCTGAGAAAACAGTGACCATGTAAATAAAAGGCAGCACTATGCAGCAGATATTAATGGTGATTTATGTACCAGCTGGGATATTGTAGCAGCATTTGGTAAGTATTTAGCTATATTGGGTTCAAGATACATAAACCACTGTGCTGGACAGCCTGTAACAGAGAAGACACAAATTCTGATTAGGAACCACCATGTCCTTACAAAAACTTGATGTCTCCAATGGGTTGGTCTGGTGCTTTCCATACGAAGGACAGGTTTCTCTTCAGTGACTTGTCTGAGTGTGTGACAGTGTCACCATCTTCAAAACAAGTCAGCAGCTTGGAACCAGGAGGCAGGAAGATGAACATGCCAGCGATTTCATTGTTGGACACTCTGCGAGCTTGCAGCATAAAGCCCATGTAATCCCGGGTGCTTCTTACTGTCACTTTTGGAAGACAAAACACAGGACACAAGGGGATTTGTCTTGCTGTTATGGAGTGAATTGCCTGCAATGGAGTTCCCAGAAAAAACTCCATTGGGAGTTGGGCAACACTGCTGAAAACACCTTACTGCCTTTGTCCTCACAGTCTGTCTTGGACATGCTAGATACAGAAGGCCAGACTTTTACCTTTGGTTTTGCAATGTGTAATTGCACACAAGATTTGCCTGAGACTTCCCCCCCATCCCTCCTTGATGATAAGCTGTTAACCACGTTGGACCAGGCAGCATGCAGCCATTTTTACAGAAGGAGGTTTGGACACCGCTCTGTATGTGAGCGAAAGCTCGTGTTCTGCTCACAAAGGGGTTTCGTTTTGCACAGGGATGAATGGGCAAGTGGCCAAGCTGGGGAATGGTGCCTCAGCTCTGTCTGCATCTGCCTGAGGAGCAGCAATGCCAGGGATGGGGAATGCTGCCAACCATGCCCAAGAGACAGGTGAGTTGCCCAGACCCCTTCCAGTGGTGCAGAGGGGCTGGGAAGGTGACTTTACCCACATGGGCCATTGCATGTAATGAGGTCTGTCTGGTATGGTTGAGACACAGTTGAGATAAATGAATCCCACCCAAAGCACTCGTGCTGCAAACAGAATTCCTCATGTCCTCATGACAAGAGAGGTGTTGCAGCTCACTCAGAGCAGTTATCCCTCTTCCCAGACCTCGCAGAGATTAATTCCATCACTTGAGATAAGTTACCGTGCATTTTTCAGATGCAGGATTTAGAAGCTGTTCCTTACCTGGCACCTTGTCTCCTGGGAAGAAGAAGGACATGTTGGTGTGGACAGTGACGTAGTTGCTGTTGGAGCTGTGCAGCTGCACCCTCAGGTGCCTGGGCATCATGTCGCTGCAGGCAGAAAGGCTGGCGCCCTGCGAGAAGGCGGCCGCACAGGACACCAAGCACAGGGTCATGCAGGCCCAGCCAACAATGGCAGTGTGGGCTCTCCCACCATCCTCCATCCTACAGCAGGAAACAACCTGGAGTTCACTTCACAGCAATGGCTTCCCAAATGGTGCCATTGATTTATCTGATCTCCAGAGCCGCCCTCCCTGCTGTCTTTAAACAAAAGGGAATAAGTGATCGCTGTGGCACCTGGAGCCGCTTTGGGAATCCACAGCATTTACATTCTGAAGTGAACTGTTCAGGCTGGGAGAGGGAAGAGCCCCCCACAAGAGGATGGATTTCTTGTGAAGCTGCCCATGGAGGGTGCAGCCAGAAAATATTTGCTTTAAAAAGTCTTGTGGGTTTTAGGAGGAGGAGCAGACTGTACAGCCACGCTCAGCACCCTCACCACTCTCAGCCCAAATGTGCAGCCTGATCAATAGAGGAAACATGTGCCCTTTGGACCTGCAGAGCTGCTGCAGGCCCCATCACATATGGGGCTGGTGCCCAGGGCAGAGCCTGTCCCTGCCTGCCATCACAGAGCTTCATCTCTGTGGTGACAGCACAGAACACTTTTCCAGACTGAACAGATATTGTGCCATTCTGCTTTTTCAAAATGCACTTTTCAAAGTGAAGATGAAGGATAAGTGTGTGGCATTTATTGTAATGGATATCACAAAGCAGGTGCTTCTGATTTTAATGTAGCACTTTCTACCATCTTCTTTTCAACATGCCTGCCTTAGATGTCATTACACTTAGTCAATGAGTAAATGTAAATAAATCACAGGCAACAGAGGCTGAGGAGGTCTAGCTTACACCTCCCTCTCAAGCACCTCTGAAACTTGCAGCCAACTAACAAAGCACCACTGCGAGCGGAACAATTCATGCCCAGCCTAAAGCAGCAAGCAGATGGATGCAGTTTAACCTTCCACAGCCAAGCATCCTGCCACTCCAACCAGTTGTGTGCCAGAAGATGCTCGTGAGAATCACAGGAGCCTTTGCTAACTCTCCCAGCCCTGCTGGACCAGCAGCAGGATGTCTCCGCTTCATGGAGCCAGCCTCCCTTCTGGGCACCCCTAAACAGTCCTTGCTGGATAAAATTCTTGCAGGAGCTCATGGCAGTGGCCCCGAGCAGCAGCTCTTTCCCTCGGGTGTTGCCCGACTGTGGCGTTTCCCCTCCTGCCCTGCTGTGCCCATCCCCGCGGGGGAGCAGCGCTGCTCCCCGGGGCCGCCCGGGCTCAGGCTGCCGCTGCCGCCGGCGCTTACCTTGGGACACGCTCGCTGCCGGGCTCGCTGCCACCACTGCCCTGCCAGCCTGCCCAAGACCATCCTTTCAGGGACCTTCCTCGCCTGCTCCTCTAATGGGAAGCGCAGCAGCTGTTACTGCTAATACCCACGGCAGCTCTCTGCCAGTGCCCAAATCCTGCTTTAATAATATCAGGGGTTTTTTCTTCACATCCTACCCCTTTTTTTCGACTTTTTTTTTTTTTGTTTGTTTGTTTTTGGTTTTGTTTTTGGTTTTTTTTTGTGTATGTGTGTGTGTCAAATGTCCAAGTTTCTTCAATGAAAAGAAAGGCAACCAGCAGGGAAGGGAGGGGGAAACCCACAGCAAATCATGGGGTTTGTGTAGGACACCCTGAAACTCCTCTGCAGAGGTGCAGGATGATGGGACTTTTTCTCCCCTGTTACCCTCTCCACACACATATCCCCTCTTCCACGCTGAAAAAAAGCAAAGCCAAGCCACATCAGCCCTCTCCATGTGCCCCCAGCAGTGTGCCCTGTCTCCCATGCTTACATGGGATTAATTTTGGCAGTAAAAGCAGAATTTTGCTACAAAGTCTGGGAAGGTTCATCCCATGTGCCAGCCTTGCCAGAAGGAGCCATCAACACCCCACAAATCCCCCGAAGCTGGCACAGGGGACCAAACATGTGATAAGTGTGACTGTCCCCCAGCACATGAGCTGTATTCATGTCCAGGCTGTCAGCCCGGCTCCTTGCCCGAGCTTTGCTGCAGCTGTGCTGGCAGTCGGTGGCAGAGCTGATCCTGTCCCTTGTCACTGCAGACTGCTCTGGGGATCAGGGCTCTCTGATGACCTGACCTCCATCACCAGGCTCACCCTGCTCCCTGCCAGTGGCCCATTCCTGCCAGTTGTGCCTTATCTGTGATCCTGCTTGGGAACTGACCATTGTGTGAGGCTGTCCAGAGGGGGCATCCTGGTGACCTCTGCCTAGTTTGCAGATGCTTCACTTATTAGCACTGTTCCCATCAGCCTGCCCTGCTCTGCAGCCTGTCTTTTGGAAGAGACACAAAATGCCAGGCTGGCACTGAGGTTCTGAGGCTGACAGCCCAGCTCTCAGCAGTTAAACTGGTTGGAAAGTATGGAAACTGGTGGTACTGGGCTCTCACCAGCCTGCTCTCCTCTGCATTTGAAAGATGCCTTAAAATCACTGAATTTCAAGATATAATGTAAGTCTTGTAGTTTTCTTTCCTTTACTCAGGGGAAGCAGAGCATAGTTCAGGGGGAGGAAGGACAAGTTTGCATTCTTGATTTCGTTCCAGCTTGTAATTGCCCATCCTTTATACACAAAAGAGAATACCTTTATGCTGTATTGATGACAAATCCTTTCCTGAAACCAGCTAGTCTCTTATGGTTTTCTCTTCCTAACTTATTCCTAAAATCAGTGAGGGTCATTTCTCCACTGACTCCCACCCGGAAAAGAGGGAAAAGCAGCCAAGCGCAGACCCTGAAACAGCAGTGCCTGGTGCTCCCTGGAGGGCTGTGGGCAGAAGAGGCTCAAACAGATCCAACCCATGTGTAACAGCAGAGGATGCAGGGCAGGACTGAACTGTCCATGCTCATTTCCAAGGCTGCAGCAGCCTCTGGCAGGGCAGGGCATGCTGCTGTTCACAGGTTCAGCAGCAGCAGTCAGATGGCACTGCCTGGACAGTGTTAATTGCTGGGCTGATCTGAAATACAGCCTTACACAGCATTTATCCTCACTGCCTGCTCTCAAACACAGGAACTCCATGGCTTCAAAGCCACAGTCAAAGCAAATGTCACAACCATCTCCTCCTCAGAGATGGAAAAGCCTGTCACAGTCATTACCGTGACACGAGCACCTACCAGCAGCTTCCAACTGCTCATTCAAATGCCAAGTGACAGGCAGATGTTTCCAGGAAGAAATACAGCCCTCTCAGAGCCTTGGGTTGCATCACCCACCAGCACAGCATTGCCTCAGCCTCCTCTGGCCGGGGCTGTGACCTGCTGGAGTCACTTGAGCTCAGCCTGGGCTCAGCTCTGACCGTGGGGCCCAGACAGACCATGTGGCACTGCTGGAACTGGAGAGAGCTTTGCTTTTTCTTGTCAGAAACTTCTTTGTTAGCAGGAAGCTGTCAGGAGAAGGGGACATAAGACAACTTACACCCTACTTATTGTTTTCCCAGCAGCATTTGTGTAGTGGATTTCTAGAAGGAAAAAAATCCCCACAGACCACAGCTGGGAATTTGAAATAATACTAGTGTATTTCAAATACTAGTGTATTTCAACAACTGTGTATACTCCTTAATGATTTGATAATTAAGATAGAGTATAAACCATATAATTTGAAATGTTAGTGATAAGTGTACTGAAGGATTATAAACCCCATAACATTGCAGGTTCTTTGGTGCAGAAACTCAGTTCTTCTTGCAGGCTGCTTCTACATCTCCACATCACCAGAGCACATCAGGGCCAGCAGATGTGGAGCAGGTGCAGTGGAGATCAGGATGTAATATGGGCATGGACATAAGAAACTCAGAGCTGACACTCCAGAGCAAGCTGGTTGCTTCATTGACAGGTAGGGAAATACTTTGCTGCTGCAAGATAAAAAGGGTTTCAATGAGTTAGAAGTTCTCCTGGTCAGCTGGCAGTCACCTGAGTCCTGTGAACAAAGTTTGAGAGGGCTTAGGGAAGAGTGGGCAGGTTGATCAAGTAGAGAGCTTGAAGGTGGCAACAGCTGAGTTCAGATCACAAGGAACTGATCATTAAACCAGCAAAGCTGGCAGCACCACCTTATTTAAGAATATTTCAAGTCATCTTTAAAACAAAGAGGAGTGGCTAGCTGTGAGATGAGTGGTTAAAAACCCATAGTAGTCCCACAGGGAGAATGGAGAACTATATCCAAACTAGCATCTCAGGGGCTGACCTATGCATGCCTGTGCCTCTGTGTTTGGGGAGACCAGGATGTTTTTCTGATACTTCTAAAAGTTAGGCAAAGCTAGGGCTGGCAAAAGTACTGGCAGGTCCTTCCACTTTTATCCAGTTGACTCTTCTTGCTGTTCTTCTGTCACTTACTGAAGTGTGACAGTGACTAAAACGTTGTAGGGGGATCCAGTATGGGTAAATGAAGGTGGTATAGAATGTAATCTTATCCCTTAAAGAGTTGCAGCTGAACCAATTACTAAAGATCAGGAGCAGGCCTGATGTTAACAGGCCACACCTGTAGCCAATAAGAACAGTGTTATAAAAGAGTGGATTGGTGGGATCTGGAGTCAGATGGCTGCTGCAAGGACCAGGAAGAGTCAGAGCTTAGAGGAGCTGCCTACAAGACACATTGAGGAGGTACGAAACTCTGGCAACACGGAATCCTTGCACTATAGTGATAATAGAACTCTTGATATATAAGACAACAAAATGTCACTTCTGGGAACAAACTGACACATACACATGCATGCAACATACATTGTGAGCCTCTTTCCCTTACAAATTCAAACCCAAATAACCCTTTATTTTATTTGGTAACTACTGCAACCTGGACAGCTGTTCTGCTCTAGAGGAGGGGTTGAGGGGAGGGAAGGGAGAGAAAGAGGTAAGGCCTAGCAACAAATAGCTTAATGATTGCTTTACTAAGACTGAGTAAGATGAGGAATACAGACAGCAGGTAAAATGCAGATGCTGGGCTCCTCACATGCACACAGCAGCAGTCAGAGCCCACGTGGATTTCCCCACAGTGTGCTGCACAGAGCAGATGCAAACCATCCATAGAGAGCTGCTCTCCCTTTTTGCCACTTGAGCTATTTTATAATTTCCATACACAAAACCAACCCTCTGTTCTAAAGGATGATCTCCTGTTGCTCCTCTGTTAGACAAAGGCAAGGCCAGGCAGGTGGTGTGATTGTGGCACTGAGTGGGGGTGACCTGGCAGAGGGACCCTGTGGCTGAGGGTCCCTCACTCAGGGTCAATACAGCAGCCCAGGAAATGCCCCCTCCCATCTGATTTCAGGCCTTGGAGAACAGTTTGGCTCAGGAATCTGAGAGCTTGAGACTGCTGACTCCAAAGCTTGCTTGTTTTCAAAACCAACACAGGGCTGGAGCTGGCCATGGCTGTGAGCTGGGGTATGAAAGATCAGACATTGCTCTGGCACCATCAGTCACATGTTGCAAGGCTGTCACTTTGCAAACACTTTCATGCTTTCTTATCTCCCAGGAACAACACAGCTGGGTTCCAGAGCTGTGAAAAAGCTTGAGGAACTAGTGGCCAAGTCATACCCAGAAGGGCTCTCAGTGGCTGTTTTGTCATAGCATCACAAAAAAGACAGAAAAAATTCAAATAAATGATGTTGAGCATAGGTTTGCATTAGATTCCCTTTGAACTAGGAACCAGGGGGAAACAAATTGTAAAAGTGAGTGGTCATCAGGGTATACACCTTTAAAACAAAACCTTCCTAGCATGCTCTGCTCCCTTTATATAGGGCACTCCAGGCTTTGGTAGGGACCTGGCTTGCCTCCTTCTCCCTCTTCCAGGCTTTCTCTACTTTCCATGAGGTATGCTGTGCTGCTGCTCCCAGCCAGGCTGTTGTTTAAGGAGTTGTGGCTCAGTTTGGCTTTTCCAGTGCAAGAAACTTGTGCTGGATGTGGGTGTATAGCAAATTTACAGTTACTGCTCTTCACAGAGTGTCTGTGAACTGAATGTGTTGCTGAGGGTGGGGGTAGTGGTTGAATGGCCATGGTTTCACAGTGTGATCTCATTGCATAAAAGTTCTGACTATCAACATGAGTGCAGCTTCAGTCTTTGAAATTCAGTAATTTTTGTTAGTTTTGGATTACTTAATTTTTGGTACATTCTTCTAAGTAAAGTGGCAGACAAATGCTTTCAGGTTGTTCAAGGTATTAATGTTTCATGGGCAGTTCTGATCTCAATGAGTTTGATCCCAAAGTGAAACTTTTTTATACACAGGTATTGGGGCAAGAGCATCAGGATATGGTAAGTGATGTCACATGGAGAATTTGTAAAATGAACTGGAAGTCAGTGATTGTAGGAAGTAAATGCTTCATTTCTTTTGCTACTTTTGAAATTTAAATATGAATTACAACTGACCTTTAATGCAAATCTGCCTGTCTACCTCACACAGTAATGATGACTTCATGACCTAGAATACATTTAAAAAACCCCTTGGCATGTAACTATGTAGTATTTATATTTACATAGAGTTTAGTATGTGATTAGACCATCAGAAGTAGCAGATTACAACTGAAAAATGTTCCATAACTAGACTTGTAGAAACTGAACCAGTCAAAAAGTTAACCATGCAAACTTTTGACATTAAATCAAAGTCTGCAAAATGTGTTGCTATACATATGTAGGTGTGTGGAGGGGGAAAGAAAGGTGGAGAGGGAAAAAAATTAGTCCTATATTAAAACAAAAAGGCAAACAACAAAATCTAGACAGTCTCCAGGACTGAAAGCAGACAGTTACCTGCCAACTATGCAGAGATGACAAGGCAAATGAAAAATTGCATGCCCCACTTGGAGGAACATCTTCATTTTTAAAAAAAGTCACTTACAGAAGAGCAAGTTGGTGATTTGTCTTACATCCTGGACCTTTTTCAACCCTTGTCAGAAAATGATAAATTATTGAAGCATATTGTACAGTAGCAACTCTATTTGTGTGTTCTATCATGGCTTCTGAAGTGCTTAATGTGGAAAGGTTAACTACTGACTGCAAAATAATTTAGAATTATTTCTTCATCTTTAAAACCAGTAAAATTAAAATTTGCAGTTCCCATTCTCTCCCTTTGATAACTGGAATGTTACTATTTCCTGCTTGCATCACAGCTACTGGTACTTGGGAAGAATGGGACAATGCTATATTCACACAGTTGTCTTGTGTTAATCCATCCACAACCAGAAGTATTTTTGTTCCTGGAGGCATTATAAACTGTCCAAAGAATAAAGCCAGGCTTCAGGAAGCTCCTGTAAAAAATTGGCTCAATAGCCTCAGCATGAGGTACATTACCCTAACTTATAACTTCATCATGAAGAACAAAAAACCATTCTGAGTGTGTGATGTTAAGTGCAGGAACACTCAGGTGAAGGAGTATCTGAATTTTCAGAGTTGGTTTGGGTTTCTTCTTGGTTGACTGCATGTAAAAGGAGAAGGTACATTTATAAATTGGAATAAGTATCCATGTAAAATTGAGCTGCTTTTATTCACTGTGCTTTGATTATCTGGGAGCATTGTTGCAAAATACACACAAACAAGTTCCCTCTCTGCTGTCAGCTCAGAGGTTCCCCCTCCCTAATGCATACCCCATACTCTAATGCACTTCTTCTCATTCCTGGCCAGCCAAGGGAATGTAGAGATGGTACCAGGTTGTGGGGGGAATGGATGGGAGAAAGAAGGAACTGGCTGGAGAGGACACATGTGGCATGTTTATAAAAGCTTTCAGATTCCTAGTGTATTTTCAGGAGTAGATTTAGGTATTGGTTAAAATTGCTTTTTACTGAGAAAGTCCATTGTGTTTGGTAGAGAAGCACAAGAAAAAGGTCACCCCAAGCAGAGGAAGGGTGGGGGGTACCCAGGCAGGAGGTGAAGTAGCTACTAGGCTGTACTGACATACCAACTGAGAGCTCTTCACCCCTGACTGACTTCCTCAGCTGGCACAGAGCTTTCTTTTCACCCTTAAGGCTTTTCTTCCATTTGATTCAATTCTTTCCCCACCCCTAACTGTTGAAGTGTCACTGTTACATCCCTTGATTCAATCCACAATTCAAGATTTTTTGGACAGCTGAACTTTTTAGTCGATGACTCTTACTAGCCTGGCATTTAAAGCTGACCCAGTGTTTTCCAAAAGGGACAGGTTATTGTCACCAAACCATTAGCATTTCCCTTCCCACCATCAGTTAAACTATTGTTCTGCCATTAATATAGAGCTCTGATTTGCAATTACTCCATGCCTGCTTACCTTTCAATCAGTACTTTTGTAACTGTTAGCATAATTAAATGAGCTGTTGCTTCAAATTAGTCTTGCAGCACTATTACAAGATTCCTTTTGATTTTTCTTTTGTACAATGGAACAAAGCAATGCTTTGAAACAAAACCATTCAGGCAGTTTACTCACATTTACATTTATTTAAAAAAAATACTTAAACACTTGTGTATTTCACCTGTGGACTTTGAACTACAAATCAAATAGGGCTCATCACTTCAAAGAGGCTCACAAGTACAAAAAAACAGCCTCCTTCTGGCATCTTCACATCCTCCTCTTCTGGGTGCTTATGTACAACACTGTGAAAAAGAGGAAGTGGCACACAGAAGAGGGCCCTGGTAAATAACATGCAGAAGCCTTTTTATTTAAAACATCCTATTTCCATGGCATATAAATTGACACTGTAAGAGATCCCATTCAGCATGAACAAAGCCAGGCAACCTTTAAGTCCAAGTTTCAAAAAATGTCATTAGCTCTAAACATTATGTATTACTTTGGTTCAGTATTTATTTTATTCATAGCCCAACTATGCTCCAGCAGTTGTAGCTGAACAGAGCAGGAACAAAGGCAGTGCCCTGTAGTAATGCTGAGGGGAGAATGGTAAGAGTTCTTCAGCAGCAGAATTACAGGTGTCAGACACTAATGCTGTGATCTTTCAATAAAAACTGGAAATCCCAAGCACTTAAGGCAAAGCTAATCATTAGTTATGAAGGAAGAGACATCTTCCTCCTGCTTGGCTGATGATATCCCCAGAACAGATCCAGTCACAACATAAAATGATACTATGCTCCTAAACCTGCCACATGTCTTTAGTTCTCTGTTCAGCCTGTCCTTGAGCCTTCTGCCTCTCATCCCCTTGTTTTAACTTTACTAACAGATTATTTCCTTAATTGATTCTCCAGCTGAAATGTCACTCCAGGCCTTAGCATAATAGTCCAAATGCCATGCAAAAAGCAAGGGTTGGCCTTGTTTCAAGGATTATTTCTCCACCCAAAATGCTCTTTTACACTGCTGCCACATTCTCTTTGACTCTTTTTCTAACATGGGGTTTGGTCCTTGTGTCTTTTTACTCCATCCCTGCTTGCTGATCTCCCTTTTCTTCACAAGCAACTTGGTCAAACTCTGCTTCATTCACCTCCTCTACAAGTCTCTTCACCTCCCACTTGTGAACCTTTTCTATTTTTAGATACTCTTTTCCCTGGCATGTCCTGCTATTACAGCCTGATACCAGAGAGTCATTTCAGGAGCCTGGGATTGTCCTTGAAGTGCACTAAAATCCACCTACTGCACTTGGATATTCAAAGGCTCAATATTAAAGCATGAGTGATTTTTTGACTGGTGGTAAAATCTTTACTCAAAAGATGAAAATAGCCTTCAGGACTAAGGATAAGCATTCATTCAGTCCTGGAAAACTGCTTCACCAGAAAATATTTGTGTCACTGTAATATCTGCACTGTGGCATAAATTTATGCAGTAGCTTGCCTAAAAACACAAACTCTTATGGTGCAGAGGCCATTTAAGCAAGCAGTAAGTGCAAAAGAATAAGCCTGTCAAACAGTAGAAAATAAGCTCCAATAAAGCTAGAAAAGAGCATGCTTCTCTAAATGAACTTCAAGTTCAGAGGAAAAAAGGACCACAGGAATGCAGAAAAGCACAGACCCTAGAAAGCGAAACTGTAAAAAGCAAATATTGTAAAGATTTCCAAGAAAGAGTATTAGCTTTAGGTTTACAGGCAGCTTACTTACACCTCAGCCACCCCTCAAATTCAGAATATCAAAACACAATTTTCTAATGTGCAGTAACAGAAGGAGCAGGAATTACCATTATTTCCTCGGATAAATGCATCTCCATATTTGTTCTTTAACTGTCCATTTACATATTCTTCAGTCTGCTCCAGAGCTATGTTCATATATCCATCCAGGCAAGCCAGGACACCTGAAAACAGTGGCAATTTAAAGAGAATCAGCTTGAACTTACTTTAAAATAACAAAAATGCGCTGTGCTTGAATTGTACAGGAAAAAAGTGCCCCCTGTATCCTTATAACAAACTAAAAACCCCAGCGTGGATAGAGGTCTTCAAAGAATTCAGCTGGAGAAAGGAATCCCAGGCACTCTGGTAGCAATGGTATCAGTTGGTGTACGAGTTGTGGGAGTTAAAAAAAAAACAAACTTACTAAGATATTATTTCAAAAGATGGACAATTTCCATATTGAAAGCTTAAGCTGTCCCTTCTCACTTGTGGTTTTAAGCACACACCAAAAAACACATGGGGCATTAAGTGTAACTGGATAACCTAGGGACAAAGCTATGTAAACTGAGTTGTCACAAAACTTGTGAAGGATACAGATGAAAAACAACACTTTTAATAGAAGACAGCATACACATATTTGTCTTCATGCTTACAGAGCAAGGAGAACACTGTCTGCAAGTCTCTGCTTTGATATCAACAAAACTCTACACATTTTTCAACAAAGGCCACTGAAATCTTCCCACAAAAAAAAATTACACTGTTTCGATAATGCAATTAAAGAAAAAAATCTGTCATTTCCAATATTAGATTTTTTTTTGATCAGGAATATACACATTTTAGCAGCACAGAGGTAATACAGCTTTTTACAAGCTGTTTTATCTTCCTCTTGCATGTGGGTTTTCTTAACTTTATCCTTGCACAGACAATACTACTTAAATAACTTTTTCCTCTGTTTGAAAAACGCCTACTATTTACCTAGCAGTAAGATATGAAATATATTATATTAGCTGTAATTAGGAAGAGGGAGAAAACTCAGGACACATTCTCATTTTTCAGAAATGTCACTGCAGGATCTTCTAGTTAATAATCAGGAATTCAACTTCTTCTGCCAACTTGTCATGGCTTAAAGGTTATTATTTTCCTTCCTGTTTTTCTCTCCTCTGTTTCCACAGACATAGGAAAAACTGCTCACAAAGTGCCACTAAATGCCCCGAAAAGACCCAAACTAAAGTCAGGATTCTTTTCCACTCTAGCAATCCTGAGGTATCCACACAGGAACAGAAAAAAAAATGTTTGTACAAAATTAAAACTGGACCATGTAGATTTACCTGAGCTACATTCAACTCAGTAGGCCATAAATGCAGTATTTTCAAACTCTCTTGCTCCTAGAGTGCATTCATGGAGTGCAGTTGTTTCATTCTCTTCCTACTTTTCTTTGTGTTTACTCTTATATCACTAATGGCATCAAATATCATCACTGCCCATCCTGGTTAGCAATTTATCTGTTTTATCTGTATGTAGAGATGTTTTAATGTACATATCCATATTTACACACAGAAACCATACATTAATGTACCCCTGATCATTTCCCAGGGCTCCCTGACTTGGACATTTGCAGCACTTGGCAGTGGCTGAAGACAGTTCAGTCACACATCAACACTTGCATGAGGCTGGTGTGTGTAGAGGCAACAAAAACATCAGCAGCACAGCCTGGGGGAGAATCTGGGCAGATCTGCAACAACAGCCTGAGATGCTGTTTTGGAAATGTTTGGCTTTTACAAATGCTGGTCACATTTCTGCAGAAAACAAACTAAGTGCATATTTTTCAAACAAAAACACTACACGAATTTTCTGTCACAAGATCAAAGGAGTGCAGGGAAATAAGGAAGAGAAGGGGGGGGGAAAATCCAGTGACAAATAAGAGTGTTCAGGGAACTCTTGTTCAATTAATGTGGTGTCAGACTGTAGGCACGTTAAACTAGCTCTGCTGAGGGGTTAGTTCATCTACAGCATTTACAAATGGATCTTACCAAGGGAGAGGTAGCAATGGTCCCAATGAAAATAGGAACCCAAATCTGCTTTGGCCCTGCCTTGTGTGTACCCTCATGTAAAACAAGGACTTGCTTTAATTGACTTTAATGAGCTCTCTCTACATTCTCCTGCACTGAAGAATTTACAGAGAGGCAGCAAACTTCTCAAGCCCCCAACCCCACCTGAAGTGCTCAGACAATGTGGTTCTCAAAGAAATGAGAGACTGCAAATTTTGTCAGCTGAGCAACACGGCAGAGAAACAAGATTAATTACTCTTACAGGAGTAAGAAGTAAGGATTCTTACTCCTGTAAGAAGCCACTGCTTGCTCTGTCAGTGAACAACTTAAAACTGTCCTAGCACAAAGATTCCTTGTCACAACACCAACAAGTCTCCTCCCACAAGTGCCAAGCTAAGCCACTTGAAGTAAGGGTCTGTTGCAGAACCATAATGTTGAAGTCAGTACAGAATAAAACTTCTTAATTGAGCACAGCGGAAGATACATGATTAGTTTTGACTGAGTTTGGATACTGCTAAAAAATTGGTCAGGTTGATACTGTAAGCTTAACTGGAGCAGGACCAAGACATTTCACTGCACAGAGAAGTTTAATTTACTGGTTAAAAAAAATCTATAATCTTATATACATGAAGGTATGCTGATAGACTTGGCAAAAGCTACACTAAACTTTTTCCTGTATCTCTGTGAGCCTTGATCCAACACAGATCTAGGCAGCTGTTTAACCAAGAATGTCAAGAATGTTTTTCATCATGTAAGAATTCTGTTATGACTGACAGCAGAGTTTACTCTGGAGCTTTCCTGGATCAAGATCTGTATTACCTAAATAGAGAACAAAAAGGTGAAGAAAAATCTAGTTCCAAGAAGAGGTGTTTCTGGCCATTTCAGGAGTTGTAATTCCAGACAATCTTTCCAAGTATCAGTTTAGAAACTCAGAATTATCCAGTTTAATCACCTGTGACCAAGGACACTAATGATTTAGATCAGTAATTTTAATCTCTAAATCCCCTGTTGTTACCCCTCCCCCTTTATCACTTTCTCCAGAGTTGATTTTTCTATTTTTACTGTCTCCATTCTGAGATCTCTATTCTCATACTCCATTATTCTGGATCACTCTGCTTTTCTTTTCAAAATCAATGCATCTATTCCAGCCTCCTCAAAGAATTACTTTGCTCACTGTGAGAGACAGATGGAGAACTTACCTCGATAATCAACTCCAGAATTTAATTTTACAACAACTGGCCTTCCAATGATTTGTTTTAGGAAGTCACTGGGGGTTTGCTTCCGTAGACTCATCTTGATCTTCTCTGGTAAGCTGAGAAGTGAAGAGAAAACATTAGGACAAGAGACATGCCTCCACATTGTTTTAAATACTCTGCACAAACATGCAGACCCCTGATTTGTAATACTTTCAGTAGGAGAAAATACTGAAGGAGATGAAAGCAAAACTTTAAGGGCTGAGGTGGGGAGACAGAGCTCCTAAAGCCATTGCATTCAACTTTCCCTTTGGCATTTTTATTACTTCTGAAAGTATTACTAAGAATCCTTGTTTGCCACACTGTGCATCTTTTAAATTTCAAACAGTGCCAAAGGCCTCATCATCTCCTAAAACCTTTTGCTAAAATTCTTTTAGAGGGCTAAGCCTAAATAGGTGTTTTGTGTCTTTAGGGGTGGAGGGAGCAGCCCATCCATGCTCTATACACGGAAGTCTGTGCGAGAACAGACACAAACAGAAGAAAAGCATAAATGTAAAAGCATGCCTTCAGATAATACAACAGACTAAGTTAAGCCTTGTGATTAAATGACAGAGGAAAGATGCTGTGATTTAAGAACGCAGCAGGCGTACCCAGTTTGGTGCAAGACCCCCTCTCAGTGCTCGCTTGACTTCTGCTCTAACATCGCTTTGTTCTGCGGTTTGAGCAAAGGCAGAAAACACCCGCACGCTGCCGACTTCATTCCGTTGCTTACCGGGGCAAATCACCAGGGGCGATTCCAGCCGTGAATCCAGGGATCCTCACTGTTTCCCCATCAACACCCACCGCCACCAGAGACGCCGGCGCCCAGGGCTGCGTCCCCTTCCCGGAGCACGCACTCCTTTAGAGCCGCTCCCCTCCGAGGAACCCTCGCGTTCCAGCTGGGCCCCAGCGCCCTGGGAGAGCTCCCGGCCGGAGAGCGCGGCTCCATGACAGCCCGGGAGCCCCACACGGCCCGGGCCGGCCCCGCACTCCCCGCCCGCCGGCGCTTCCCGGGCCGGCCCCGTACTCACCGCCCGCCGCCTCTCTCGGCAATTGCCGAGCGGGCCCCGCACTCACCGCCCGCCGCCCCTCTGGGCAATTCCCGGGCCGGCCCCGCACTCACCGCCCGCCGCCACTCCCGGCGCTTCCCGCGCCCTGCCCGCCGCCACCTCGCCCCGCCCCGCTACGGCGGCCGGGCTGGACAGCCCGCGCAGGGCCCGAACGCGGCTGAGGGCGCGCCCCGCCTGCCCAGGGGCTCGCCGGGGGTGGGCCCCGCCCCCTTCACGGAGGTGCGCGGGATTTTTATGGCTTGCTTGGGATTCCGCACAAAATAACACCCCATCGGAGAGGAATCTTACAGGATGTCTTATGGAAAAAATCTTACAGGGTGTTTTGTGGGGAAAAAAACCCCACTGAATCGGTTAAGTTGGGAAAGGCCTCAGAGATCATCGAGTCCAGCCTATTACCGAACACCACCGTCTCAGCCAGGCCCTCCACCGAGGGCCGCATCCCGGCTTTCCTTAAACACCTCCAGGGATGGGGACTCCACCACCGCCCTGAGCAGCCCATTCCAGTGTCAAATCACCCTTTCTGTGATGGAATTCTTCCCAATGTCCAGTACGGCACTCATTCTATTCTACTCCAATGAGACCCTGTTAATTCCGAAGTGATCTTGTCCCTATCGGAGACACAGTGAGCACCTCACAGGCGTCCTGTTCAGGACTAGACAGGAAGGTGCTGAAGGTCATTTTGCAGAGAAATCAGTGAACATAGAAACAAAAGAGATTTTTTTTTTTTTTTAAGTCACCTGAGAATAGCTTGGCACAAAAACAAACAACTCACGTTCTACTCTTCTACTTCTCCCTATCATCTCACTTGTTTTTCCTTTTTCCTCCTTTCCCCCAGCTGTCTCTTGAAGTCTGGAAAATACTTCCTTTCTTCTTTCTTTCTTTCTTTTTTTTTTTTTTTTTAGGATTTAGTACTGTGACAAGAGTTAATCATCTGTGAAAGCTTCTGGGCTGTTTTGTTTTGTTGGGGTTTTTTATCTGTCCAATATTGATTTAGTATCTTGTCAAACCTCTCAATTCTCATGATACAGAGAAAATGTACCTTGGCTTTTCAGAGCACAGATTTGTATTCTCGCTTCTTTCTAGAGTTGTTTATCTTCTCTTTTTGAACATGTGTCCAGTAACAATTTTTTCTCCAATGCTTAGACTAAAAGGCTTTTAAGAGGCAAGAGCTGCAAACCCGACCTTATTCACCTGCCTGTCCCAGAGTTCAAGCACAGGCAGGGACAGGGAAGTTTGGCCACACTGTGCCTGTGTTTCCAGGCAACCGTCATGTTAATCAGGAGCATCCAACTGTGCTTGATTATATCTAGTATTTGAAGCAGAAAAGGAACATAAAATAGTTACTCCAGGGAGCAGACTGCAAAGTTTTATTTGGCTTCCTTGGCTTCAGTGAGTAATGCTTTGATAAGGGAATATTCCTGTTTTCATTGTTATCAATCTCCAGTATAAAGATTGGGCAAACAAAACTTTCATGTCTGGGCTGGTAAATTTGCATGGCAATTTTGCAAATCCAACCAGGGACACTTTGGTTTATTTCTTACAAGTTTGCCTTCAGAGCTTGTATTTATATTTTTTCCCAGCCATCCGAAACTGATGAGCTGTTTTTGCCTTCTGCTCAATAGGCTGCTTTCTAGCTAGCTGAGGCTTATACTTAATTACAGTTTCTATGTGTGTGGATACTTTGATTGTCTGCTGTCAGTCAACAAAATCCTTGTGCTTTCCTGCTTCACAGCCCGTGAACCTCACAAACACATCAGATTTGAATCATGGGCATTGAGATTGGTGAGTTCTGTATCCTTAGCTTCCTTCTTCCATACTTTGAGACCAAGTCATGAACCCAAATTTGGGTAATTTTCCTTGGTTTGCCAGAGGTCTCAAAGCAGTCTCTTGTGCTGTTCCTAGAGGTAAATTAGCCTTAAATGGACTCCTTAAGGATTCAAAATCTCCAAGAGTGAAAATAGAATTCAGATGTCATTGGCTAATGATTATCTGTTGTTTGTTTGTCCTCTAGATGAGAAAGTGTTTTGATATAAAATGTTGCATGCCTGGCTCTCAGTAGATTGTTTTAAATTCTGCATTGCTTTATCTTTTCCTAGTGTGCCATGGTAGAGCTTTTTCAGCTGTACAACTCATGGAAATCAGCGAGATGCTGCCCTTGTGTTTTAATCAAGATGAACTTGAAAGGTGAACATTGTAAGTGATAGAAATTATTTATAATTTGGTAATAAAAGTTTATGTCTAGCACTCCAAATTTCACACATCTGCTGTGTGCTGGCCTTGAGATATAGAACAATTGCAATTGCCTTTACATTTGGCCTCAGATGAAAGGTCATAAATTACAATGATAGAGTTCGTAGTTGTTCCCAGCTCACAAAATTTCCATATTAACATCTTCACCTCAAACATAAATGGTTACAGAGTTACAAAGTAAAGAGTTGTGTTGGCCTTTGTCAACTGAACTTTCAGATGGAAGTCTGTGGATCGTGTGCTATTGCTAACTCTTAAACATAAAGCATCACAGAATCCTTGTTCAGAGGACCTAATTAAAACTTTACAGTTAACTTTAAAAATGAAATGGGATTTCACTCTCACTCACTCTCTCTCTCTCTCTCCTGTAAATGCAGTAAAACCCACTTCAAAGTTAGGAAGGCTTTTCTCTCCCAGCTACTTGAAATAAAAGCATTTTCAGAGTGAGATAGCTACAGAACACAGAATGAGTCAGAAGGAGTGTCCAGTTTCTCCTTTTCCTGTGAATTGCACATCATTTATATAAGTAAAGTGCAGATCAACAACAATCCAGATGACAAAAGAATGTCTGAGGCACATTTTGAATTTAGCCTGAACAATCCCCAGCTACACCCAGCAGATGAATAAAAGCCTCAATCTTTACCCAGTTCTTACCTGAAACTTGTGTCAGAGAGGACAAATCCATTCTGGCCCAAATCACAGCGTATCACATGATTTTAACACCTTTGCATGCATTTGGATGGGAGAGTTCAAGCCTCTCAACATGTGTATGATTATCAGTGCCCATACAGTAAAACTTCAGAGATGTTTTTCTCCTTAAACAGAGGCTTAGTTATCCAGCATTATCTCCCATGCTGTGCTAGGATCATCAGAGCTGATTTGAACTGATTTCCTTCCATGTTCTCAACTAAAAAGTTAATGTATTTTTGAATGGAACCTTACTCAAAAAAGTGTTGGGTTTGAGCTATGGATTTTAGATATAAGAGACTAACAAAATTCTGTCATGTTCAACTTCTGACACTATGCTCACCACCTTGGGCTGTTCATCTCCTCCTGTATGGCATAAGTGACACAATGACCTTTTGTCACACGTTTGTCTCTCCTATTTTCTGTCCAGTTAAAATATAGTGTGACAGTTCATGTGAGGTTTGTGCTTTCTATTAAGCAGAGGCTGGAAGCCCCACTTGATTGCTTTTTGCACCACTTAGCTGGATTTTTTTTTCTAAAATTTGATGGAGCTGGAGCAAAGCCTTTTGTGCTTAGACTCTAGAGTATATTCATATCAGGGTAAAAACACATTCTATATTTTTTTGCTTGTGGAGTATCAGCAGGTGACATTTTAATGTAAACTTCCCCACATTCAGTTTGATGAAACTGATTCAATACTTCAGGTTGAAAACTCTCTTATCAAGATTAAGCACAGAGAAGGGTTGAAGTGGTCATGTTAAACTGACCTGCTGGTGCAAAACATCTGCAAATTGGTTCCCAGCTCCCTAGAAATGCTCCTGATGCAGACTTGGGGATATGAAGTAAGCATGAGTCAGATTTGTAGTGTGGTAATAACAATACATACCTTGTCCTGAATTTCAGCAAAAAAGGAAGGTTAAAGTGTGTTCAGCCACATTAAGCGTTTGGAATCATGGGGATTATGTTACCACCTCCATTTACTAACAGGAGAGCTCAATTTATTTAGAAATAAAATGCAATTTAAGGTCAATGTTAGGCCACTCCTAGAGCATTTGTGGGCTGGTATTTTCCAATAGGCCCAAATTTCTGGCTATTGACTAAAAAGTCATTATTTTGTGAAGGAAACAAAGGAGAATGCAATTATTTTGTAATATAACAACAAAAATGGGTAAAATCAAAAGGGAAGACTAGAATGCTGTATCTATATGAAAGAAACTGTTTTGCTAGTCATAGAACAATAACATAAAGTTCCATATTAAGTCAAAAGTTTATTTTTCACAGAATACATCTTACTACTCTCTTGTCTTTTTAACTCTAATATAAATTCAATGGATACACTAGTGAAAATAAAGATTCTATCTATAAATAGAGATCTGTCAATCTGGTGTGACTGCCTGTGACCCAGTCCCCAGGGCCTGCAGTTTCTGAGGTAGTATAACCTCAAACACACTGTTCAGATCTGATTCCCTGGTGTTCACACATGCCAAAAAATATTCCTCTATACTTTAGTCTTGTCTGCTTTTAAAAGAAAAAATATATTCCTGTAAAAATTACATAAAACAATATTGAAGGTTAGGTACTAACTCTTCCAGATCTGCAATAACAGGTTGGGAGGAATGCTATCTTCTAGGAGAGGGGAATGATGCAGGGCAACTGACTCACTGTTCCACAGTCTGGTTCACACCTTTCAGGCAAAACTGCCATCTGTGCCATCAGTGCAGCTCTACCAGTCCCAGGAATTGTAGGAGCTTTAGGGCAAAAAACAACAGCCATCTTTTCTCACTCACCTGATCTTACCTGGAAAATTGAGAGGGCAGTAGCATAAAGTGCCTGTAGCCATCCAGACCACCTGGCATTAGAAATCTCACTCTTGCTGCTGCTGGACCTGCATGGATGTTGGAAACAGTGGAAAGCTCTCAGCTTAGACAGGGTTTGTGACACTGGAACTGCAAAGGTTCAAAAGCCCCTTGTGAGCAGAAGACAGATGATACAGAAGCCTGATCAGTCCTTGCAGGCTTTTGGGGCCAGGAAGGTGTTGGCAACGTTGCTGTAAAATGGGTTATAAATCCTTATGACTTGGATCGTTAAAGAACTACAGCTCTCATTACTCTCTCTGCTCCATAGCAGAGGATTTCATGCTGCAAAGAGGAAGGAAATCCTCTCTGCTTCC